CCCCAAAACCCCAAAACCCCAAAACCCCAAAACCCCAAAACCCCATGCAACTACATAAATTCAAATCTATTGATGAATTAATATAATAAATAGAAAATGAGTTTTAATGGAGATTCTATTCAAGCTAATGATAGTCATGCTCACGAACCTAAGGACTATCAAAGCAAAAAATCATTTGATATTGATTGGTTCCATGACCAAGGGGATTTCAGTGATTTCGAGGATAACGAAAACTCAAGCAAAAAGCATCTATAAAGAGTACCTTCAAAGAACCAAAATTAAAGAGAAACCAAAGATGAATTACAACCTGATTAAGTTAATAACAATCATGCTTCACCAGCTTAATAGATAGTGGATAAAAATTATAATGAAAATGAAAATATAAAGAATGCAAATGAAGAGCATTAAATTCAAAACCAATACAAAGGTTATTAGAATGACCGTCATCTAAATGGCAAGAGTAAAGAGAACTCTAATGGGAAGTAAGGAGATGATAGCTAATATAGTGGATAATAGTAAAGACGCTATAGGTAAAATCTTTTCAAATAATATAAGTAGAGAATATCATTAAAGATCTAGATCTAGAAGCTAAAATAGAAGAGACAATTACAACAGATATCCTCCAAGAGACAATAGAAGATAAAGCCCATTTACTAGTGGTGTCTCTGGTGATCATTAATACTAAAATAAACACAGACAAGATTACTAAAGGTAAGCAGAGAGGAGATTCGATAGATAAGAAGATCATTAGTCAAAATATGACAAATTAAATAGAACTTCAAGATCTAGTAATTTTGATGTGAAACCAGTCACTCAAAATGATAATCAATTTTCTTTGACTTCCCAGAACTAAGTTGACAAAATTAGAACTAGCCCAGATAATGAACTCAAGAAGGGCAGTCCATATCAATAGCATCAACCCACATTGTAGGAGAATGTTTAAACAGAGTAATCGAGCCATTTAGTTAATGAAGTAAAAGCAGCTAAGTCAAAAAGTGTAGAAGTAGTAGTACCATCTTAAAATCTCAACATTGAAGTGACCTCACCATCTAATTCTGACTGTAAAGATTAAATCATTCATAAATTAAGGTTGTTGTTATATTATTGGGCTACCAAATGATGTTAAAGGCCAAGTCATTTTAGATGAGTTATCAAGAAGAAATATCAACGATAAGCTAGATGATTTTAGTATTACAATGAATAAGGACACATTCGGTATTACTTATAAGTATATAAAACTGATCTTCTAATCTGCTGAGCCTATTTTGAGAATTCTTAAAGAGCCTGTCTTTAAAGTTAATGATCACAACTTGTTAATTTTGCCAGAGATTCCAAATGTAAATATCACATGACATGACTTAAATATATAAATAGGTTCCTCTTAATACTCTTATAGCTCACCACTAAGTTATTTTTACTTTCAAATCATAGGATAATTAAGATGAGGCACTTAAAATGATTTAACATTCATTTAATGATCTGACTGATTTAAGAAGAGAGATTCATCAACTATTTAGTTACTTTTCAACTTTAGGAGATGTTGTAGACATGAATTTAGACTATTTCCCGGAGATGCTTATAATCACATACGCTAAACATCCAGATGCTGTGAAACTAATTGAAAAAGGAGAAATTAACTATGTATCAGTAAGTTAGAAGGAATGGGTTCTCAAGTCATAGAAGATGTATTTTGAGCTGCCAGTTAGGGACAGCCAAAATTCTGCTTTGACAGCTACTCATAAATATCTACCCATTTATCATTAGAAGGAGAAACTAAGCTTAATCAAAAGTGATAATTAAATAGTTACGAATAACTAGATAACTAATTGAATAATTGTATAAAAAACACTAACCCCTATACTCTCTTTCTTTAATTTTCAATTTACCATATTCTGATATTTATTACTTTTTATATGATTTTGTTGTACTCTAGGTACATGGGGTTTTGGGGTTTTGGGGTTTTGGGGTTTTGGGGTTTTGGGG